AAAAAAAAAAAAAAAACAGTATGCTCTCAGAAACCTTGTCTTGTCTTTTCTCTCTGCTTCCCCACCCCTCCAATGGTTACCCTCTCTTTTTCTCTGTTTCCCGGCCCCCCCATTTCTTACTTGTTGCTTTTTGTTTGAGGGGTAGATATATATTGTTGACAAAACTTCACGAAATACTTTTTTTTTTTTTTTTACTTTTTTTTTTTAATCAGACATTTCATTTTGTTCATCCGTGTTGTTTGAACTAGCAAAAAAAAAAACCTGTCGGACTTTTTTTTTTTTTTTTTTTTTTTTTTTTTGAACTGTCGACAACTGGATCGGAATGCTGGGGTACGTTTATGTTTTTTTTTGGGTTTGCATGGAAGTTGTTGTTAAGGGCAGACTCACACGGGGACTTTTGGCAAGCGGACTTGGTCGAATTGACGATCAGATACGTGCAGGAAATTGCCCGAGTGAGTAGCCTCCTATTTCTCGTTCCGAATATAGTATTGCCGTTCTTTTTTATCTTTTCTCGTTTTTCTTTTTCCGTTTCTTAATATATTGCCAGCTACCTACAGTTGACAATAAAAAAATAATTAAAAATAATCGAAAAATATGAAACGGATGTTGATTCCTGTCTTGACTCTTGAGTGTGTTCTTTTGTCTTCTTTTTCTCGATTTTTGTGTGTCATCCTTGAGTGCGCAGAGGCCATGCTAATCTTCCTGATGAGTCGGTGAAACTTCGGCGAAACAGTTTGTCACAGCCCCTCGTTTGTTGTCCTCTTCTCCCTCCCTCTCTGCCTACGGTTTACCGTAGGCAGCTCTGTTTTGATATCCTGGTTGGTCTTGTCCCGTCGTTTGGCCTATGAAGTTGGGGGCGGTGCTTACATGTGGGGCTTGTCATCCAGGATCTTGTTGCCCACTGTTTTGTTATATTTGGCTGTTCCCTTCCTCTTTTCTTTGCCTCTTTGCCTTTTGGCTGTGTGCAAGTGGGTCGATATGACACACTGGGGTGGGGGCAGCCGCCGCTCAACCACATCCACATGGGCGGCCTTGTACGCAAGAGGTTGTAAGTAAGAAGATAAAAAATGAATTGATATCTTTTTTGTTTTCTTTTGTTTTTTTTTCACTTTTGCGCTCTGACAACTTTGTGACTATATATATATATATATTGTGCTTTCACGTGGGACCAGTCATTCGGGTTTTTGGCATCCTGGTTGTTTCCTGTTGTTCGGCCCTTTGAGCGCGGGGCGGTGCTCGTATGTGGGAATCGTCATCCGGGATTGTCTTCTCTTCTTTTTTTGGTTGTCACACTGTGGATCGGAGCTTTTTTATGCCTTGTCTTATGACATCCTGGCTGGTCTTGTCCCGTCGTTTGGCCTGTAGTTGCCGGGGGCGGTGTTTGCATGTGGGACTTGTCATCTAGGATTGTCATTTAGGATTTGCTTTGCAGCCCCCTGTTCTGGTTTGCTTGGGCTGTTTCCTTCCTCTTTTCTTTGCCTCTTTGCCTTTTGGCTGTGTGCAAGTGGGTCGATATGACACACGGGGGTGGGGGCAGCGGCCGCTCAACCTACATCCACGTGGGCGGCCTTGTACGCAAGAGGTTCTGAACAGGGGGAGTTATAAGGAAGAAGATAAAAAATTGAATTCAATTTTCCCTGGTCTTCTTTTCTTCTTTTTTTCCTTTTTTTCCGCATTTGCGCTCTGATATTTGTGACAATATATTGTCACACTGTAAATCGGAGCGCAAAGGCGGAAAAAACACAAAACAAGAAAAAGAAAGCCCCACCTGTTCGTCACCTCTTACGTACAAGGCCAGCCACGTGGATGACAGGTTGAGCGCTGGCTGCCCCCATCCCCGTGTGTCACAAGGACCCACTTGCATGCAGCCAAAAGGCAAAGAGGTAAAGAAGAGGAGGAGGAAACCAAACCTGGCAGGGAAAGAAAGCCAATCAGTCAAACAAAGCAAATGACACATGCCACTGGTAATCCAATTGTCACAAAGCAAATAACACATCCCACAGATCAACATATTTTTTTTTCCTTATTTCTTATTTTCGTTTTTTCTCTTATTTAAAGTTATTTTCTTTTTTTTCTCTTATTTTTTTCCCTTTAACTCTGTATCTGTCGGTAGTGTCGAAGGTTTTATCTGTCCCCACCTCGGCAGATATGACAGCTACGGTGAGGATGATGTGGATGTTCACAAGGATACCCAAGGAGAGCTGCGCCAGCATATAGGGAACCTCTGTTTGACGATAAATATACCGGGCAGCTCTGTTTGACTATACATTTGGCTGTTTCCCGTTGTCCGGCCTGTGTGTAAGGGGGTGGTGCTTTTATGTGGGAATCATCATCTGGGATTGCCTTTTATGTTTTTTTGACGTTGGTGGTGTCCTCAGCATAATTTTCAGTTTAGACCAGTGAAGCATACGGCGAAACCATATGGATAGGGTGCCTACGCTGGCGAGCACGAATGGTTTGTTATCTGGGATTGCTTTTTTTTTGCAGGCAAGGGTGTTTTAATATTCTGGCTGGTCTTGTCGCGTCTTTTGGCCTGTGAGGTAGGGGGCGGTGCTTGCATGTGGGACTTGTCATATAGGATCTGTTTATGTGTTTGTATCCCGGGCCCTGTTTTGTTATATTCGGCTGTTCCCTTCCTCTTTCTTTGCCTCTTTGCCTTTTGGCTGTGTGCGAGTGGATCAAAGTGACACACGGGGGTGGGGGAAGCCACCGCTGAACCACATCAAAGTGACACACGGGGGTGGGGGAAGCCGCCGCTGAACCACATCCAACTGGGCGGCCTTGTACGCGAGAGTTTCTGAACAGGGGGAGATGTGTAAGTAAGAAGATGAAAACGAATTGATTTTTTTTCTCTTCTTTTCTTGTTTTCCTTTTGCTTTTTTTGTTTTTGCCTTTGCGCTCTGATATTTCTGTGACGATATATATCCCCCTGCGGGCTACTCTCTTCCGCGAAACAGAGGTCATGCTGAATGTATAGAAGTCTTCTATAAATTCGGTGAGAGAGCATCATAGTGATGTTGGGGGTGTATTGTAGTATAGGGAGGACTCTGTGGGGGAAGATTGCTCGCTGCTACACTCGTTTTCTTTTCTGAAAATGGGTGTCCAGGTGACAGGCCCCAGGTGTCGCTCATCCACTTCCATCCGGATTTGAACCCATGCCTGTATTTCAACAATTTATAGGTGTGCCAACTGAGCTAGGCACGTGGGTTCTACACGCTTTTGCTCTACAATATGAATTCAGATATCATGACACAGCGTAATTTAGATTCTGCCTCTCTATCATGATACGCCATTTAGATTCTGCCCCTGAAGTTCCTAAACTGTATAGGGTGCAAAATTTTGTTGACGACAAAAGTGCATTGAGCCTCACTGCTCGACACCTTGAGCACACACACATACATTGAGAGATTACACGAAATCCACACTGGAGTCCAGAGATGCAAAGTCCAGATATGCGCAGCTTAGAAATTCCAACAAATTAACACATTAAACAGTTTTGGAGACCCAGTCACCAAGCGCTCAACGGTGCAGAATTCAGCAACTCAATACCAGCGTCCTCACCTAAGGTAGGTCACTCTCTTCTCTCCCTGGCTCACTCTCTCTTTCTTTCTCTCTGTCTTCTCTCTGTCTTCTCTCTCTCTCTCTCTCTCTCTCTCTCTCTCTCTCTCTCTC